TTATAAATTCCTATGACCAGAATAAATCATTGATTTTTTATTTGAAAGATGGATCCCATGTCAGGCTGTGACACCCCTACTCTTGTGTTTATATTTGAACCCAAAGACAGTACACTGCAGTAAAAAAAATGCGTACACCACTGAAATGACTTTCCTTGCCTTACATTCATTGCCTTGGATATGCAGATATACAAAATCTTCAAACATAGAATGAATTCATAAATTTATGTTTCATGTTTAAAATTCGAGTATTTCTTTAAAAGTTGTAAAACTTAGCCCCTGAATGGGTATTATATTCTACAATTGGTCGTCAGATGGCAGTAATAAAACCTTATATTGAACTGTACCTTGGCTTGCCTGGACACTTTAGGCCTGCTCAGCCTATCCAGGCAGAGCATATGCACAGTCTGGTTATCTGTGGCTGGTATTAACAATGGTGTCAAGATGTTAAACATAATGTTGTTGTTGTTGTGAATTACCTTGTGATGTTGTAATACAATTAGCTCTTTCTAACCCTGAACCAACTACGGTTACACTCTAATCAAAAAATTAGCATGATTTTTTCTCAGAGTTTTAATAAAAAAGCTTAAGAGGGATTAGAGAAAGCAGGGGTTATAATAAAATGGTCACATTGTAGGAAAAAAATTGAGATTAATTTAGACCAAAATTGATTTTAATGTTGTAATGTAAAGTTGTCAAAAGACATGAAGGATGCCACCCCTGCAATTTTAGAACATGAGTATGCCTTTTCTGTTAATAAAGCTATATCTTAATTTTCTTTCAACAATACTGTCATTACTCATTTAATTTTAAAATTCCCTTTTTTGTTGATCTTTTCTGTTAAAAGAGAGTGACCGGCAATGTATGGTGGTTAAACTGAAAATGTAGTATTGTGGACATTTATTTAGGACTCATTTAAGACCTGAAAAAGTTTCTACTACGTATAGTCACTGAAGTCGACGTTCAAAATTATCAATTAGGGTCGGTTCGGTCGGTACAATTAACATGTCTACGCAAATGTAACAAAAATTTTACACTAAACTAATTAGTTGTTTAGGTACAAGTTGAGAAAATAAAGAAAAGTTAACTCTTATCATCGAATATAATTAGTTTTATTTAGTTATTAGTTTCTGTAATCTCTCATTCTTAACATGCATTCTCTTTAGATTTTTTAATTTTCATTGAAAAGACGACATTTGAAGAATTTGTAGAAATCTGCGTACAAATTCGAAAAGAATAAGAAATTCAATATTATGATGAAAACGAAATAATTGATTCTTACATTGATTTATCGACAAATTTTGAGAAATATATTCCTAAGCATTTAATTAGTTTACTGTATAATTTTTACTTTATTTTTCGTCGTCTTTATTTAGTAATTTTTCAAAAATCGATTCTCAAAACGACCCACCCAAATTAATGATTTTGAACATCGACTTTACGCCTAAACTCAGCAATTATACATCGTGGAAAAATTTCCACAATACTACATTTCAGTTCAACTACCATACATTGCCGGTAATTTTCTTCAACAAAACTTTTTACTTTTAGTAACCATTCTCTGCTGATTATTCCCTTTTAGGAATATCGTCTAACATGATTTTTAACAAATATTATTCTAGCAAAGGTCTGAAAGACATGATACTACCTTTTCAATATCTTGAAAGTTTTTGTTGGAAGGAAGACATATTGGCATTATTTCTTCTGGGCTAACAAAATATCATTATGAAGCTTGAAAAATGTAAAAAATGTAAGAAACTAAAGTCATTAAACTCGTATTGTACCAAACAATAACCCTGATAACCTCCTCTGGATCTTGTGAAATTTTTGAAATTTTTAATTAATATTTTGTAATTGGTGATTTCCTAAAGTATGTGCTATGTAGTAATCCAATATTTTTGGAACATTGAATCTTTAAATAGTTCGATAAGGTATTGAGTCTTTGTAACACACTTAAATCCTTACATCTTTACAACCTGATAGTGAAACCCTTTGATATTTCAAACTTAGCTTTGTTATCAAACAGAATTCATTGGATTGAAATTTTGTAGTTTTAAACTTTAATTTACCAAGCTCAATAATCACTTTCCTATATTTTGAAGCAAATCCGATACCATATGCATTATCAGCAATAGGGTAGTCCAATCTTAACAAAGCAAAGTCATAGGTTATTACATCTTTTATCTCCTCAAACTTTGGATGCACATACACCTCTAGTACATTGAAGTCCCTGGCAGTACTGAATGTTTTCATATCATCTTCTTGAGCCTGAGGTCTTAACACCTAAAAAAAGGACTCTGATCGGGATTTTATTTGCATAATAATAATAATAATAACTAGCTGAATTATTGCCCGGGGTTGCCCAGGGGCAAGTTAATTATAGTTACTCCCACCCTTTACCCGTGCTTAGTCTTAGATAATGATTTTAGCAATGACTGTGGATACCCTTATGGCTAAAAAAAATTGAAAAAAAAAATTTGAAAAAAGAATTTGAAAAAAAAATTTTAGATTTTATTTGCCTATAACACCCCCGCGGCCACCCATGGATGTCTACAAAAAATGCCCAAACGGTCCTGCCAGAAGAAGAATAATAATTGAAGATTAAAAGATATTCACAATGATAACGAATTAAATCATTAATGGAACGAAATTGTATTCTAAATTCTTTTTTTTAAACCGTAACAGAAACGCACCTACTTCTAAAAATTACAGATAAGAAAAAGTAGAACACAGACTTTGCATTGGACTTCTTTGGCATTAACTTTACTTTTAGTGTATTTTTACACGCATTGCACTTGATAATTGTCTAAAGCACATTTTTAAAAGCATTTCGAATTATCAAAAAAAAGCCGACAATAATTTCGCATTTCTTTGTGCTCACTATACACTGTACCAAATAGATTCTAATACAATAGATGACAACGTAGAATTTGTACACTCTCAGTACAGCTGTATTTTTACGTCACAAGTGTCAACTCAGTTTTTGTGTCCGACAAAATTATGAATAATAGTTCCAATTTTAGTGCTTATCTTATAGTAAAATATGTGCAGCTTTATGTGTCCTTTATTTTCTGTTTTTACACTTTTTTATTTAATCTTGGAAAACATGTCAGCTAATATGAGAAAATTTCGTTTTCCTTGTTATATTTGACACTTGTGACGTCGTGTATAATTGGTTCATTTCTCCTATTGTACTTGATATTGTACTTGATAATCTATTTGCACTGTATAGTCACTGTATACACTTACTGGGCAGATTAAATTCTTTCTAACCTTTCCATGGATCTATTCTATAAACCCCTTGTTCTTTTCTGATAATCTAAATTTTGCAAAAATGTTCTCAACCTACTTTCTCCTTCTAAGCTGAATAATATTCCTGTTATGCGAATGTCCCCCCCCCCCCTGCGGGAATTAGCTTCTTTCTTGAATATTTCCCCCTCCTCTGAATTTCTTTTATATTCATCCCTTGAGGAGTATTCTGATTTTCAGCCTTTTATCCAACTCTTTCATGTTCCTTTTATTTCCAGTGTTTCCCAGAAGCTTGGGTTGGGGAATGTGTGATAAAATTTGCTTGTCTAGTCGTCTGTACAGAAAGTACTTTATAGGCTATTCTTATGCATGTTCCACAGACTACACAGACGGCTCATACACTCTACCTGGATAAGCCAGGGAGTAAGGAATAGAAGGGAGAGACAACTGACGCGGTTCGCCCTACCATATGATTATACATGCTTTTACAGGAAAAATATGTATTGGCTCAATTTTCTTTGACCAGTTTCGCCAATACATATTTTTCCTGTGGGGCCCTACTAAAGAAACCAAACAGCTCGATATAAAATGGAGTACCGTCTGCAAAGCATGTATAATCATATGGTAGGGCGAACCGCGTCAGTTGTCTCTCCCTTCTATTCCTTAATCCCTGGGATAAGCTGAGTAGGCCTATAGTGTCCCGGCACGCCATGCTACAGTTCCATATAATGCTTTTTTGACTGACAGACATCTAACGGCCACTTGTTGCATTCAGGGGTTAAGTTTTACAACTTTATAAAGAAATACTCAATTCTAAACATAAAACATAACGTTTATGAATATTGTCTATTTTTAAAGATTTTGCATTTCCTATTCAAAGGATCCATCAATATCCCTGAATAAAGATGTCTCCTGATTGGTCGTGTACAGTACTTGTACACAATAAAACATGCTGTGGAAAATATCGCATATTATAGGTGTTAATCGCTCTCTGTAACTCTCTTATCTCTGGCAAGTACTTTACATTGTACAATTATTTAAATTCAGTAGTTCACGGGATGGTTTAGTTATATAATACTGTTTTTACATAATTTTTAAAATAAATTCAATATCAAGATTAAACTGAAGAAGTTCATTTTATACAGAATTACTAGCACGCCTTTGTGACCATTTCTTTTAACACCCAAAAGCGAAAAGGACAAACTTTCTTGGTTTCATAGAACGATTTTTACTTTTATTTTTATATTCGAAGCTTTGAAGACTTTGATATATGCATGATGATCTTAAAGATTTGAAATTTTTAATTAGATTTGAAAACATCCAACTTTCTTCAATTTAGATTTGGATTCCCGAACCCCGTGAACTACAACGATAACGAGCTGTATTGTGGCGGGTTTTCCGTCCAATGGGATGAAAACAAAGGAAAATGCGGGGTTTGCGGGGACAGGTAAAAGCAAATACACTTAAAAGAAGCTATATTTATTTATCTAAGACTGCGAGCCATCTTGAAAATATATTGAATTCAACTCAGTCTTGAATTTAACTCCATCTTTAATTTAACTCCATCTTGAATTTAACTCCATCCTGAATTTAACTCCATCTTGAATTTAACTTCATCTTGAATTTAACTCCATCTTGAATTTAACTCCATCTTTAATTTAACTCCATCTTTAATTTAACTCCATCTTAAATTTAACTCCGTCTTGAATTTAACTCCATCTTGAATTTAACTCCATCTTGAATTTATCTCCATTTTGAATTTAACTCCATCTTGAATTTAACTCCATCTTGAATTTAACTCCGTCTTGAATTTAACTTCATCTTGAATTTAACTCCATCTTTAATTTAACTTCATCTTGAATTTAACTTCTTCTTGAATTTACCTCCATTTTTTATTCAACTCCATCTTTTATTTAACTCCATCTTTTATTTAACTCCATCTTTAATTCAACTCCATCTTTTATCTAACTCCATCTTTAATTTAACTCCATCAAAAATGACTGTAAACGTATGACAAGTCCGATTCATCTGGGTACTCTTTAAACCTTTGATTGATTAGAGGAGCTATTTATGAAAGATGTTTTTTACACGGAATTTCCAGATTCAATGATCAGATAAGGGTTGAAAGGATACCATTCTGAATCAGACTAGCTTCTCTTAAAATGGAGGATCTCTTGAAATTACGTTTACAGTCCCTTTAAACTAAATCATATTGAAGTTTACTTGTAAAGGTTTGACGAACCTATCCCCCGGTCCCACGAGGGCGGCGGCAAATATGGAAACGGAATTATTGGAAGACGATACAGCATGGGGCAGACTATTGATATTGAAATAGATATCAGGAAAAGTATATTTGATATTAAAGAAAACAATTTTAGATTGTAAAATTGAGGAACAAGGCTATATAGAAGTAACATTTTTATTTTATCCCTGCACCGCTCTCCTAAAGAAACATTCACGATAAATTATATTGATACGAAAAAATATTCTTTTTTGTAGCTCAAAATAGGCTGGGGGTCGCCTCCTTCTACATACAACCCCCCATCTCTTATGTTGGTTTCAAGTTCCAAATTTTATATTTGAAAGCTTAAATTTTCTGATATTAACAATAAGAACCAAGGATAATAACAAAATAAAAATAAGATAACAACAGAAACGTTTTAAGTTTGAAACTTTAAAATATCATATAAGGGAAAAAATGTTCATACATGTATACAATAAGATACTTTACTTTATCTCGGAATAAGACATAAAATAGTAAATGTAAAGGAATCTTTCGTTTATTTCAAAACTCGAGGCAATGTTGAAAATTTGATATTTTTAGCCATAGATTAAGAACCATACAGATTGAACACTTAATGTCGTCTTTTCAAGATTTAGGGGTTGCTCGTTCACAATAACTGTGAGGCAGAAGCCCAAAGGAGTTAAACGCACATGCCGCAATCAATTACAAAACACAGGGAAAGCATACGCGTAGCTCCTTTGGGCTTCTGCATCAGGGTTATTGTGAACTAAAAAAACAGCAAATTTAAAAAATACATCTAGTGTTCTATCTGTAATGTTATTAATCTAAACAAATACTACCACCTATGCTAAAATGATACAAATTGTCATAAATTAAGATTTTTAAATAAAGGGGCAAAATGATCTAGCAAAATATATATAAATAGAAATACTTTTTATGAGATCTATGCGAAACTGCGGAATTTGTTGATTGAAGTAAACAATGTATATAAAATGTATGTGCATAATGTAAAAAAAGCATTTTAAAAATGTTTATTCAGAAAATTGTGTGGCTTTAACCATTTTCCCTTTTGCGCCGATTTCTAATTGGTAATATGAATAAATTTTTAAGAATTTAAAATTGTGAAAGTTTTCATGTGGAGGAAAAACTTACAAAATAAAATTTGATTTGAACTTAGTCTGATGGGTGCAACCAAGGAACTATATACAGGAACGTTCAACTCAGATATACGCAAATTGTGTACTGTACACTGTGGGAGGAATGTAAACACACCCTTTGCTCCCACAGAAGTTGAAGGGAAAGGACTAAAGCTCTGATGTGATATTACAGTCCAACAAAAAACAAGTTAATATATCAAGTTAGAGCGAATAGATATTATTTTCGGCTGTCTGCTCAATATGGAAAATACAATAGCAATATATCTTTATTCCACCCCTTGGGCACTTTCCCCTCAAGAATGATGCGTTGCCCCTGAATTCTTTGTTTTGATCTCCTCCCACTGCATACACAGATTTGACGCATGTGATATGGCGGTCCCTGGTCTATACATTTCTTGGGTGCAACAAGAATTTATATTTAAAAAAAATTTCCACTAAAAATTATAAAAGGGATTTATAAAAGTGGACTTTAATTCTGTAATTCTGTTTTTATCTTATATTTAGTCTTGGACTGAAGGAGCAAAATAACAATAATGAAAATAATGAAAAATATAAGTGTCTCCTTCAGGTTTCCTGTTAATGGACCTCTAATTACATCTGAGAAATAGTGTAATTAAAAGATTATGAAAAAGTTACTTTGAAGTTTTATATCCATTAATTATTTTTAATTAACTCTCCTGCTCCTTAGATCTTTAAAGTTCAAATGACGTAGGGGTGGGCAAGAGCTGATATTTCTCATGAACTATGTAGGGGTGGGCAAGAGCTGATATTTCTCATGAACTATGTAGGGGTGGGCAAGAGCTGATATTTCTCATGAACTATGTAGGGGTGGGCAAGTGCTGATATTTCTCATGAACTATGTAGGGGTGGGCAAGTGCTGATATTTCTCATGAACTATGTAGGGGTGGGCAACCAACCATATGGGTTCTTCTACCAGTGTGTGGCATTGTAAGTTTATGAACATTTTACCAAATCAAAAAACAAGTGCTATAAAATGTTCATGTATAGGGCTGCACAAATATATAAATGAGTTAATATGGTAAAATCAAAGACCAAGGCGTCCCAGTCTCAAAAATTGATGCTACTTTTCATAGCAGTCTGGATCTATGTAAAATGTTAATAAAAAATATACATGATCTGTAGTGCTAACCATTGGGGACATTTTGAACTAAAACTCTGCCCAATCAATGGAAAAAACACTATCGCCACCCAGGTATAAAACACAGTTTTGAACTAATTGACATTTTTTCAAATTAAATCAAATGAAAAGTTAAATGAACCTCTATGCATATTAACAAACAGAAAAAGGATTTTCATTTTGAATCAAAAATTGTTAGATCTAAAACTAATTTTTCAGCAATTACTGCATTCTTTTGTAACTTGAAATGACTTAAGGCGTAATTTCAAGTGGCCCTCTTCTTAAAGAAGGCCACTTGTATTGTTAAACCCAAAATAGTAGAAAATATACTTTTTAAATTTTTAAACATCATTTTGGACATAAAATAGTCAGTATTTTCAAGGTATACAATTACATGTAACGTCAGCAAACTCACCCGTTTAATGGCAATTTAAACACTATGTAAGCGCTAAACGCACAGAGTTCTCTGTCCTCTCTATGTTAAGTCCAAGATGAAATTGTAAATTGTTTAAATTACGGATAAAGTCCCTTTAAGTGAAACTATCTGGTTGTCTGAAACTTGTTACATGTCTTGTTTTTGTATAAACTTATTATTTCTTATTTTTTTAGAATTTCTATTTTTTCTATAATTGACAGCAATTTACATGTTGATCGGTTCAGTTGTTCAAAACAATAATATTGCATTAAAATTGTTCAGGAGTGTTTTGACAAGCACCCTCTTGTACTGGCAAATAATGTTAGATCTCATAAGTTCTATGTTCCTTTAGACTCTCCTAAGGTAAATCTTTTTTATTGGACTGAAACAAACTTTAGGTTCAGGATGGATAACAATCATTTTAATCCGAAGAAAAATATGTTTTTAAACTTTCAAAATACAATAACAGTTTATTTCCTCAACAACATTATGACTTGAAACTTTCTGATTGCAAAGCACTACTTGGGTCCTTATTATTTTCCCTTCAAAATTTATGTCTGATCTTATTTTACTCCTAAATTCAAAATTCGTCGAAAATAATCTAAAAGATTTGTAGTAGTTTGATATCTAAAATATAAAGTCAAAGAAACAAGTATTATGTAGAAAATGCAAAATTGTCTATTCATGGGTTAAAATGGGTTCCAAAGCAGGAACCCTAATTCAACTTACCATTGGTTCTGAAACGTTTATTGGAATTCGGAAACTCACAACCATGACAAACGTATACACAAACAGGAAGATGGGGTTAAGGTATTTTTTTTTGTTATTTGTACATATTTTTTTAATCTCTTAATGGTTTATTTTAACGATATTATATAAGACTAGCTGAACGGCCCGGCGTTGCCCGTAGGAAAAAAATTAGTTCTAAAAATGTTGGAAAAAAAAAAAAAATTGAATATTGTTTAGCCGTTTTGCCGGCTATAGGCAACATATATATACAATGTCTTGTTATATTATATAGATAGATAGATAAATATTAATTTTCTTTTTTAATTGCTTTAATTTTTAACCCTGTATTTAGAATGACCTTGACTAGAACTGGAAAAATTCAATGAACATTTCTCTCCTCTACTCAACCATACAAACTATTATGAAAGTTTAAACTTGAAGTTCTAAACTTTTTAAACTTGACTTGAATTCCTGCATCTCACATCTTCCAATCTTTGTAAACCCAGCCCACAAGAGGGGATGAGTTTGCAAACATTTTTATTTGTTGCAAAATAGAGAAAAGTTTTGCAGTGACATGAATTCGTACTTTCAAAGTATGCAACTATGTAGAGTACATTTATAATTATATCTTTATATATATATAAAGTAGTGATCTCTGTTTGTCTGTCTGTTTGTTTGTTTGTCCGATCATAACTCAGAAACCCCTGGATCGATTTGCCTCAAATTTTGACTAGGGAACTCGGGAGAATCAAAGGAATGGTCTTAGCTTGGTTTTACAGTTATAAATTGAGTAGGTCGACTTTAAAAGCCTAAATTTAGTTTCCCGGTAAAATCGACCAAGTGCGGGTAAACGGCGGGAGTAACTATGGGTTCCCATGATAGTATGAAGCAATAATCAGATCGGCTTCTCAGTTTTTATATTTATTGATAAAAATTATTTCGGATTGCTCCTCTTCAGTTAATAAATATGGTTAAACTGATGTTTTACAATAATATATATATATATATATATATAGCTAAATATATTTATATACAGGGTGTCCCACGAAACATGACAGTTGATAAATAGTTTTGAATGTCGTCTTCCATACACTGTATTAGATATTAAAGGCTGTTTGCAGTTTATTTCGTTTAAAAAATCTTTTGCTCTAGTATATTTTACTTTGAAATTAATGTTACAAATTAATGACTCCTAAATAATATTTTTATTATTGTCTTTCGTATAAAAAAAACTTATAAAATTATGGAAGAAGACATTCTAAACTATTTATACCAACTGTCATGTTTCGTGGGACACCCTGTATATATATTTATTTGCCTTGTGTGATTTTCATCTCCGATAAACATTATAAAATCTGAGCTTGAAAGCATGATTTGCCACTGTTGTTTTGGGTTTGTTTTAGACCAATCTGGATTTTAAAATTTTCCTTTCTTTTTCTCTCGTAATTTTTAATAAATTTGAATCTTCAAAAATCTTTAAATTATAACTCTTCAAAATTTGGCTGAAGTCTATTTATAAATACTGATTATCAAATTTCAAGTATCCATTCATGTTTTAAAGATTCTAATTTACAAATTTTATTGATTCTTTAATCTTACTCGTAATTTAAAATTTTATAATTTTATAACATTTGAATAAAAATTGAAGAACAATAACAAGTAATGTTTAGATCACAGTGTTCAACTACAAAGTGAATCTACCGATTGGTGTGACATGTTCTCAGTGTGTTATGCAGGGACTAACAATAGTATATTTTAAAGATTTTTTAAGCTTTTTTCCTCTCTTCCTATAGTGTACACAGAAACTATACATCATTAGCTTCAAATGAATGATAGATTTGGACAAGCACTTTTATATGAATAAAAGCTACATTTTCTTAAATTTCTCAAATGAAATGTAAAACAGAACAAGCACAAGTAAGAAAATATTATGAATTCCGACCTTCAAGATAAAATATTCTTAATGCAAATTTCATGGGAATCTACTTCCTGTTCGGATCAAATATCAATTTCAAATTCAAAACTGATGGTTCTTTAAAATAATATATCATAGTTTTACCAGTTTAAATCATTAGAACACTTAACAAATAGCAATGTCATTGTTTGGTCCAAGCTTGGTTGCAAGATTATCAAATTGTAAACTCTTCTTGACATTTGACTGTCAGTTGTTATTTGCTAAATCCTTTTTATGAAAACTAAAATAAAAATATTTTATAGTTTTTGATAAAAAAGGTTCAATTGAGCTTTTGTGCTAAAATATCTTTTTTTTCAATATTTTTTTCAAGAAAAGGTTAGATTTAAGAAGAGAATGATAATTTCAAGAAAACTTTTAGATTTTACTTTTCTATAATTTAGTAGCGATGGGCAGTAGCTAGATTCGTTCTACAAAATTTTTTAATATTTTGAGACTTTTAAATGTTTATACAACAATATGAGAAGGATGCAACGATTTAAAATTGTATTCTGTAGAAGTTTTTAAAAGATAGTTTTTGCCTTATATTTTCTTCTAGAGTAACAAATTTGCATGTTTGATAAAATCAAACTTCTTCAGATTACAACTTTAAAAAACCTTTTCATATTGTCGTAAAATCTTAAAAAGTCGTAAAAGTCCAAAAACATTATTTCTGTAAAATGAATCTGGCTATTGGCCATCCCTACTTATTAGGTTTAAAAATAAATCTAGGTTCATTAATCAGTAGAAGTCTAGATCCCCCTTAGTCAATTATTTTAAGCATTAAAGATAGATTTATCAATGTAACTCCCAATCTATTTCCTATTATGCCACAACTTATCAATAAACTTCAAATGAGGAGTTATGTAGTTTAATCAAGGGTATTTGTAATATTACAACCCTGTGTACATTCTGATTCATTATTGTACAATATTTACCAAACTAAAAGGCAATTTTTTTCTCATCATTGTACAGGATTACCCACAATGGATGAGACTGTATAAAGACGACCAGAAACTCTTAAAATGAGACAATTCCAAGGTTAAATTATGGATTCTGCATTAGATGTAGTAATCTGGTGGCTTATTTAATTATTTGGCAAAAAAACAAACTGTAAACAAATAAACTATTGCTGGTGTTGTGTAGTGGACTTATTATACAGGAAACACCTGGGGTGTCTGCAGCAACGGAACCGAAGGGATGGGGTGCGGGTATCAGGAGACCTTCAGGTAATTAGATAATTTTCAGGGCTGTGTAGTACATAAAAAGCACACCATTTTTATTCAGTTCTAACTAAAACATTAACTTTGTTTCAAAATTCCAAAATGTTAATATTTTGAATGTTTTATACAACATAAAGTTAAAACCAAGCTTTGAAAAAGGAAAAGCTGACTATTCTACATGCTAGTACGTAGTATTCGTGTAAGATTCACCAAAAACCCCAATATCTTTGTCTACATTAATGTTACTGCAGTTTCTGGAAGTTTTAACAAATGTTGATATAAATTTAATCATAAATGTTACATTTGTCCTTGTAATTTTTTCTGAGATTCAGATGATTTTTGCAATATTAAACGTATCGTCCGGGACTGAGCCAGTTTTTTAGTCTATTATTATAGATAAGTAATTATTGTTTGAAATTTAGTTTTACAAGAGGTTATATAAGCATTAAGCAAGGATAGTTGGATACTCTTGATGTATGTGGGTATACTTGAAGGATAGTTTCCAAATTGTTGAATTGTTCAAGTTTATAAACTAGATTAATGGATTGCTATAAGGACCAATACAATCAGACCAAGAAGTAATAGAATAAAATTTAGGACAGGGGAAAAGGAGTTGTTTTTATTTAGCTGTGTTGTATGGTATTGGGGTAGACAAGATCCAGTTTTATTTTGAACAAAAAAATGTTAGGTTCGATATAAATTATTTAATGATATTGTAGAAACTGTGCTGATGTTCAAATCAATTCTCTGGTTGGAGCTTTTCCACCATCAGTCCTACCTACACTACCTGTAATCTACCCAACCTTTTATAATCTCCAGGTATATACTACCTACACTCCCTGTAATCTACCCAACCTTTTATTTAAACTTTAATGATTTATTCTATTTAAATTTTACAATATTTTTAAATATTTATATGATATCAGATGGAAATATTTGAGATTGCTATATTTCTTGTTCTTCATTTTTTTCTTGTTGGTCCATCCTTCACCCAACAAAAAAAAAGTGGGCCTTCATATGCATTGATCTTGCAGTATTATTTTATACCCTAAACCTTTCCTAAGATTGTTTACAAAACCAGGAAAATTGAATCCCTAATGAATCTCCCATATTTGTTGGTATTATTGTTATAGCTGGCAGCCTGAGAGCTGGGCATGTAAGTAATGTTTTGATCTGCGAGTTTACAGATAGTTATTGACTAAACCATTTATTTTAGGATTTTTACTATTTTTTGTATTAAATAACGATGAAACGGCTAAACCAATCAGGCCCAATCTGATTGGGGTTACCCGGATGGAAATTCTAAAATGAAAATCAGAATATCTCTAAAAAATGTCATTGTTGTTATAACTTTAAAATGTACGCAAAAAATCAGCAATTTCCTTTTGTTTGCGAAAAATGAAAGGGGGTATAGGCTTACAGCAAAACATAAGCGCTTTTAAACGCTACTAATCTTACTTCTGTCTGTTGCGTCTATAAGGAGAAAATTGTTAAAATCTACACATACCGAAGATCGTAGAATCCATACAAATTCAGAAAGTTGCAGCATTCAACTCGGATCATTAAAAAATCAATTTAATTTCAAACAAATCATTTAGATATTACAAACAATAATCATCAATAATTTTTCAACTCATTCGTATTAAGTTGAAATTTCAATATCCATTTGTTTTTTAACTAAAAACTTCTTTCTGTTTGTGAGTGGAGTTTTTGGATATTTTTAAAACCTTTTGTCTATTTGCGATGTTTTGTCCATCCCTAGTCAGCCTTTAGTGTGTTTGTCGCACTCTCAAGGGAGTAAGTGTAGCTTGTTCTCACATCCTAGAATCCTTGATTAAAACAATATTTAAAATTCATTCTAAAAATATACCTTAAAGAAAGATGCAATGTCATTTATGAAGCACAATCAACTTCTATCTGATGTTTCTGTAAACTACGGTTTATGTTAGGTACCATACCAACCTGTAAGCAGCTACAGCAAGTTATACATATTCGTGAATATTACATATTTTAGGACACAACTCATATTTCAGAAGATCGAATTATTGGGGGGGGGGGGTGTTTTGCTCTATTGTAGTATGCTTTTTTTCTTCTTCTTTTTTGAAACAAAAAGAACTACCAAGTTGCAAAATAGTAACAGTAAAACCATTAAAATGAACTAGTAACTTGAAGGGAATTAAATTTCATTTAAACCACCTGTTTGTTTATTATTAACCAGAGCAAGATTGCAAAAACTAGATTTACCTGTAATATTCTAGCTCCAAACTTTTTGAATATCTTGGTTTTCACAATGTATCTACAAATATCAATATTTCTGTATTACATTTGTTTTCAGAAAAGTTTTTGAATATTTCCATTTTGCAACACAAGAAATAACATGGCCTAAACAAATATTAGAATTTTCTTGCACAACAATAATATGAATCTCAAGTTGTTCAGATTTGATGAAGGCCAAGCTGAAATGCTAAAACTTGCATATTTATTTTTTTATTCCATTTATTCGTACACAATTATATTGGTACAGTTTAAAAGCAACTAGTAATAAGATATATAACATATAAATATAGAATTAATATTTAGTTGAAAACAATAAAATAGTTTTACATATATATAGTCAATAATTTCAGCTCTATCATCATAAATAAATCCGTCTAAACCATTTTGATTTCTTCACGCATGTTCAGTCGGATTTGCGTAAATCCGTCTAAACCATTTTGATTTCTTCACGCATGTTCAGTCGGATTTGCGTAAATCCGTCTAAACCATTTTGATTTCTCCACGCATGTTCAGTCGGATTTGCGTAAATCCGTCTAAACCATTTTGATTTCTCCACGCATGTTCAGTCGGATTTGCGTAAATCCGTCTAAACCATTTTGATTTCTTGACGCATGTTCAGTCGGATTTGCGTAAATCATGTTTGACTTTGCTAAAGACTTGTTCAAGGACAGTTTATCTACAAAGTTTTCATTTGCAATATTAGATAAATTCTTAAATGATTTTGTTCTTTAGTCATTTTTGCACAAATCAATCAATTGTTGGATGCTGTGACTTTTACACATAAATTTGCAAAATGATACAAATCGGCTACACAACAAAGTTTTTAAATGATTTTTTTCAGAAATTAGTTCAATAAAATATCTATGAGTTTGTCGTGGCAAACCAAATAAAATATGAATAGCAATATTCCAAGAAGTATACAATTTTACAGTGTTAACACAAAACAAATCCCTATAAATTGAAAACATATAGAATAGATGCATATAATATATATATCATAAAACTTAATAACCATTGTAGGTTCAGAAAAATGAAATTCTTGATTCAAAGAGTGAATTATTGATATAAACTTGGCACATTTTACATTACAATCTGTGAACATAGAATTATTTGATTGAAATAAATTTCCTAGATGTTTAAATTCATCTACATAATGGGACACCATCAGAATAATCGGACATACATTATTACTATCAATATTAGATTTATTGAAAATAACACATCTAGTCTTGGATTTGTTTATATTCACGTTTGTACTAAACTTTAGTTTACAATTTAGTGCAAATTTCTCATTTCCTGTAAACTGTTCCTTCTTTAGGATAGAAGAATAATGTCATCAGCATAATTCCATATTCCAAGGTATATACCTTGTATTCGAAAACCAATCGTAGATAATCTTCACTGTTTTATCAAATTCGCAAATGTAAATACACTAAACAACCAGTGCAAAAAAACTTTTTTCGACACAGATAATTTTAAAATTTGAAAGAATTCTATTACACTGTTTGAAATATTTTACCAGGCCAAATTCAATGAATTTTTACATTAGAGACTTACATCAAAGACTTGCATACAGAAATATATTTGTCTGGGGGGGGGGGGGGC